ACAGCTCATAGTAACCTCCAACTCTTTTGCTCAAGTTATTCTCTTGCTTCAGCTTTCCCAGTGGTTGAGGCAACAGGAGCCTGCCACAATGCCCAGTTATTTTTAGAGATGAGCTCTTGCTCTTGCTCAGGCTGGTCTCAAACTTCGGAGCTCAAGCAATTCCCCCACCTCTCAGAATGCTAGGATTACAAGTATTAGCCACCCTGCATGGCCTGTCAGTTGTTATAGAGACTGTTACTGTGAGTGAATAGTGACACGGAATGATTCTGAAAGCCTTTCATGATTGAGTGGCCTGTGAATAAATTGTCCTTGCATAGTACAGGGGTTCTGGGCACTGTTATTACTTGGTTACTATATCTTGGCAGTTGCCAGGAACTTTGGGAATGGCTGGAGTACATTGATTTGGGCTGGATTCTCAGGGAATTCATGAATTTTAAACCAAAGTCTTTGTCATGGTGATCAGTGGAGTCAGGTTGTATTTGGCTGAGAGGGAAGAAAGCATAGGAAAGGTTGAAGGAATGGGAAGAAGCTGTGTTTTGTGTGTGAGTGCATGAGACTAAAGTTCCCATCTGCACCATCACCTCTTACCTGGATATTCTGGCCATCCTGAGGTCCTGTCTGCTTCACTGAATGTTGGGCCTGCTTCCTCTGTTTGGTCTGCCTCTCCTACGTCTCTCCAAGAGCACTGGGGGTGGAGGGTGGGGGGCTCAGTGTTCTTCCTTTCCTAACAGCAGCACAGCCTGAAGACTCAGACTGAAGCGACCTGTTGTCACACCTAGGAACCAGGAAAAGCTGTGGGCTTTTCACATGCAGAGTCTCCTGGGGCCCAATCCCAGACCTCCTAGTTTGAGACAAGATGGGGCAGATGTCCAACTTCCCACCTGTTCCTCTGGGCCTTGGAGTCCTGATTGTCAGCAGTATTGGAAACACTTTTGTCTCAGAGTGACCAGGTCTGGGGCACTGGCACCCCTTACCTGGGCAAGGGAGTGGGAAGGCTCTACGTTTTCTAACCCTACCCCACTATGGAGTCTCCACATTCTAATCAGATTCTAATCCTCAAGAAGAAAACCCATCATCTCTCTGAAAATAAGTAGTAGTGAATGAAGAGAACAAATTTGATGTGGAATGGTGACACAGTTATTGCCTTCAAATTCCTACAGTTCTGTCATGTAGAAAAAGTGGTCACACTTGTTCCCTGGGACTCCAGAAAGTGGAGATGTGGCTTAAATCTGTAGAAGAATTAGGTTTTCTGCTTGCAAGATTAAATTGTTATTTTTATTTATTTTTATTTTTTAGTTTCAATTATTATGGGTACATAATAGTTGCGTATCTTTATAGGGCACATGAGATGTTTTCATACAGTCATACGATGCAGATTAATGAAGTCTGGGTGGTTAGGGTATCCATCTCCTTAGGAATTTATCATTTTTTGTGTGTTAGTAACATTTCAATTCTACTCTTTTAGTTATTTTAACTTATACCATAACTTATTGTTGGTCATAGTCACTTTGTTATGCTACCAAATAGTGCTCATTCTAAGTATATTTTTGCATCCGTTGATTATCCCCATTGTGTCCTCCCCACTTTCCCCGCTATCCTTCCAAGCCTGTGTTAACTGTCATTTTATTTTCTGTCTCCATGAGATCAATTGTTTTTAATCTTTGCCTCCCATTAAAGATTTTTAAAATTGCAAAATGCATGCAAAATACAGAATTATCTAAAACATATAGGAATAGTTTTCTTAGTTTTATCATCTATGCATATATGCATAAAACATGTATTAATCATATTTGCCTATTTTTATCCTTCTCATGAATGGCATCCTTCAGCTTCTTTCAGTCAATATAGTGTTTTTGACATTCATGTTGATACTTGTGTCTATAGCTTATTCTTCTTTTTGCCACTGTATAATAAAGGTTCACACTATCCTAGTCATTCCTTTAGAGTTTTTCATTTTGGAATTTAGAATGTTTCCAATTTTAGAAAAAAATGTTATGTGTAAATAATATATTATTTGATATCACTAATAGGTTCTGGGGTTGCACACTGTGATAAAAACAAAAAAAAACAGTAATATTGGGCAGCACCTGTGGCTCAAAGGAGTAGGGCACTGGCTCCATATGCAGGAGGTGGTGGGTTCAAACCCAGCCCTAGCCAAGAAAAAAAAAAAAGTAATATTTTGGCAAGTAGATGTATAAATATTCATACCATGTGGAATGAATAGAATACATATCAATCCAGATTTGGTTTGCTACAAAATAAGTTTGCTGAAACCCCATGAAAACTCCTATCACTGATTTTTGGATTTCCAGGTTACAGCAAAGGGACTGTAGACTTACCTTCAATCATGGGATGTACCATAATGTACCTATCCATTCTAATGTTAACAGATGTTTGGATTTGTTGTTATATTTTTGCCACTATTTAAAAAAATTGTTTATGAGGTCAATTACGTTTGGAAACTCATCCTAGAAAAAGTGCTACATACCTCATTGGTGAATATTACTATAGTTACTAGATGGCCAATGGGAGTACTTCAAAAGTGACCACCTGTGTTCTTTGTGTGTTACTCTCTGCTGCCCACTGTGTGAAAGCAATCTTACCCTGAGACTTGAGTTTGATCTTGGAAAATGATCTCCTAGAATCGATGTCTACTTACCTCCACTGACTGGTTCCTTCTAATCTCTCCAAAAAACCTTATTTTATTTCTTCAAAAAACTAATTTATTTGCCTCAAGTTATAAAATTCCAAACACTGCCAGAATATCTAACTTTTATTGAGCATTTACAATAGGCTGGGTAGTATGCTACTTGCTTTACACAGGTTGTCATCTCACTAAATCCTGACGAAACTAGCTACTGTTATTATTTCCATTCAATAGGGGAGACAAATGAGGTTTAGCAGGCTTATAAATTTGTTGAAGGTTACAAAAACAGTAGCAGTCAGAATTGTAATCCAAAGCCATTGTGTTCCTTAACTAATCCCTCTACACCATGTCATAGTGGTCCAGTGGCATGTATCTCCTCAAACAAAAAGCAAACTCCCTGGAGTTTTCATCATGTTGGTGTGGCTTTTTCATTGTTTTGTACCTTGTGTCCAGACTAAGGTGACCAGATTTTAACATTGGTAAAGTGGGACACCATTGATGGGGTGGAGGGTGTTCTTAATTAAAAATTTGGTCTATATGGAGCAACAAAATTTTTCATAGAACACAAAAATAGTATTGTAATATATATATTTTTAATTTCAACATAAGTACAATTTACAAATATAATACATTAAAAAAATTTATGTATAGGGCAGCACCTGTGGCTCAAAGGAGTAGGGCGCTGGTCCACTTGGGTGACCTTGCCCAGGAGGGGTGTAGGGAGTTTACATTAGCCTTTTCATTTCCAAATGAAGTTACATTAACCTCTTCATTCCCAAATGGAGTTACATTAACCTTTTCAGCAGCTGAAAACCAAAAACCATATGTTCCCTTCCTGTTGTCCCACCATTCCCTAGCTTGTCCTACATTCTTTCCAAAAATCAGGACTTTTTAAAAATGCCCCCGGAGACAAATTGTTAAAAAGTGGGACTTTCCCGCCAAAAGTGGGACGTCTGGTCACCTTAGAAACAGACTGTTGGAAAAATTCTTGATCAGTTAAATTCCATTTTATATTCTACCACATCTTTTTTTTTTCCTTATTGAGTTTGACTGTTATATTTTCCCCTTCTTTTATATCAAACTCCTAACTTCTTCCTATGTAAAGTTATAGTTTCCTCTTAACTTTTTTCACTTGTCTCCTTCACATTATTTAGCCATAGTTTGTCTTTTAGATGTTTGACATGCTGGACAGTGTTCCCCATGGCTTTGGTGGTGAAATTATTTTAAAGGCAATTTAAAATAAGCCCTAGCAGGAAGTTGGGATGGATAAGTGGGAATGGGGAAAGGAGGGCCAGTGTTCATAGTGTGATAATAATTGGAGAAGGCCTTCTCCATATTCAGTGGAGTCCCTATGAATTGACAACACACTGAATGTCTAGAAGCACTTAGGCTGAACTGAGTGAGACGATGTATGAAAGTATAACTATTTCCCACCCTATTCCAAAACATGGGATGTTAGTTGGAAAGGGACCATAGAGCCATTTTCATATAATTATAATCATAATAATTGACATTTATTATGAACTTGCTACCATGTTTCCTTGAAAATAAGACCTACCCAAAAAATAAGCCCTAGCAGGATTTCTATGCATTTGTTAAATATAAGCCCTAAACCCAATAATAAGACCTAGTGTTGGGTCTTATGCATCACCCTAGTGATGGGTCCATGCATTTTGGTGTGGAGAGGAAGACATCCCCTGAAAATAAACTCTAGTGTGTCTTCTTGAGAAAAAAATCAATATAAGACAATGTCTTATTTTCAGGGAAACACAGTACATGCTGTTCTAAGCATTTATACATAATTTATATATGTCTTAGTACACTGATATCATTTAATCTTAACAATAGTCCACTTGGAATATAAAACATCAGGGCACAGAAAGATTAATGTAAGATCACAGGGTTGGTACTTATTGGATCTGGGCTTCAAGCCCAAGCAGTATACTATAGGACTAGGTAATTAAAATGAACAGAGGTTAAGTAAATTACCTAAAGTTACTAAATGATAGATGTGAAAGCATTAAAAATATTTTACAGTGAAATATTTGTGTATATGGGTAAAATACATGAGATATATGAACTAGAACTTTCAAGAGAAAAGATAAAGGTACTGAGGAAGAAGGAAGAAATTGGGAATTTATTTTATAATTTAAGATATTTATAATCACAACTCATAGAATTTTTATGAAAAAGTAAGACAAATATTTATTATAGCAAGCTGCTGACAATCTGCCTTCTGCTAATTATAAGTACTTTTGAGGACAGAAACAATGATTATTTTGCTTTCCTCACAAGGTTAAGCATAGAGCCTATAAATAGTAGGTGCTTAATGTATGATTATTGAATTTACATTCTATTCTGTTCTTTTAGTTAGGCTTCTCAAGGCCTGTTTCATGTCCTTATTCCTAAGGCTGTAGATGAAAGGATTCAGCATGGGGGTGACTATTGTATAGATGACAGTGACCACACGATCCTTTGTCACTGAGTAGGTGGATGAGGGACGAATGTACACAGATATTATGGTCCCATAGAATAGTGCCACGACTGTGAGGTGAGATCCACAGGTAGAGAAGACTTTGTACCTTCCTCCCCCTGAGGGAAGCCTCAGGACAGCACGAGTGATGTAGAAATAAGAGACAATAATGAAAATAAAGGGACCCATGACAACAAAGGAGCCCTCTGTGAAGGCCAGAAGCTCATTGGCAGAGGTGTCAGAGCAGGAGAGCATCAGCAGCGGCTGGACATCACAAAAGAAATGGTGGATGATGTTGGGCCCACAGAAGGAGAGGCGGGCCATGAGAATTGTGTGGGCAAGTGAGTGCAGGTGGGACACTATCCAGGAGGCCATCACCAGTAGGAGACAGCGCCTGCGGCTCATGGTAGTGGCATAACGCAGTGGGTTACAGATGGCCACATAGCGGTCCATGGCCATGGCAGCCAGTAGGAAGCTGTCAGTGATCCCAAAGGCCACAAAAAAATACATCTGTGTGAGACACTGGGCAAAGAGAATGGTCTTTCTCTGAGTCAGCATGTTCACTAACATTTGTGGCATGATGACGGTGGTAAAGCAGATGTCCACCAGGGACAGGTTGGAGAGGAAGAAGTACATGGGAGTGTGGAGGCGGGCATTCCCCCAGATGGCTGCAATGATAACCGAGTTTCCAACCACATTGACCAGGTACATGGCCAAGAAGCTGGCAAAGAGCCAGACCTGCTGTTTGGGATTAGTGGTCAGTCCCAGAAGAAGGAATTCAGTCATATGGCTCTGGTTCCTCCTTGACATTGCTGTCCTGCAAATAAAAAATATGAAGGGATGTTTGGCATGTATCCTGGCTGGAGTATGCAATCTGATAGAGGGGGATACCTATAAACTATTCTAGCTTGTGCGCTAAGGGTAGCCATTCATGTAGACTGTATGTAGTATATGCATGTAATATAACTTCATAGGTTTGTTGTTGACACACCTTGATTTCAATATTAACTTTGCAACTGAATTTGTGAAGTTGAGTGAGGCACTTCATCTTGTTTTTTGTTCAAAAGACAAAACTTATAATGCACATATTCTTAGGGTATTCAGAGGATAAATGGTAAAGATTTTAGGAAAGGTGCTTAGAAAATTATCCTTTTTCTCAATTTCCAAAGGTAGTGTAAATATGACATATCTTCTTTCTCTATGTGGTCTCAGTTGCTCTTCCTTTGTTGAGTGTTACCCCTCACCTAATGCTTCTGGCTATAATTTTTCTCTTTATCCTCCCCCTGTATAAGAAAAGGGGGACATTTTAGGTTTTCACTATAGAAATCACATGAAGACTACACAGACTGTATCCCTGGATCAAACTTGTCTTAAAAAAACATACTTTTGTAATGATTTTGGGAGTTTAATTGTGGGAAGAAAGTTTTAGGAATAGCGGGGACCCCAAAATTTGATGTGTCCTTCATGGTGTGGAACTGTCTTGGTGGGTGGGAGGTTAAAAAGCTTTTTCTGTTAGCCTGTTTACCCAACATTTGGCTTGATGTCTCAGGCAAGTAGGTGGCATCAAGGAAGATGTGGGCACTCTTACAGGTAAGAAGAGTCCAATCTAAGGGGTGTAGTGAGAGAAATGGAAATGTGAGAAGATATAGCAGTATAGCAAAAAATCACTGAGAGGGATGAATAGGAAAGCACTGAAGTTCAAGAATTGGTCTTTTTCCTCACCAATGGCAAGAACCAAGGAGAATAATCAAAGGTACCAATCTGGCAGGAATTGAGGCCCTAATCACTTATCTACCAATATAGGGACTCAGTCGAAAAGGAGAAAGAAATAAAAAGCTACTAGGGAGAAGCAGGCCCAGAGCAAGTGTAGGGCTCATCAAAGTGGTTGGTATTTCGCAAGTCTTCTAGCTTTAAGTCTTTGTCTAAGTCAAGATGAGTAATAAGCCAGACTTGTTGGAAGTGGAGAAGTTTGAAAAGTCAAAACTGAAGAAAACTAATCCTGAAGAAAAAAATACTCTCCCTTCTCAGGAAACTATCCAGCAGGAGAAAGAGGCTGTTCACACATCACAAAATGGAGCTCTTCTCTCAAGAAAAATTTCAACATTGCTTGAGAGCCTTGGTTTTAGACTTGTTTTTTGTAAACCTGTGTGTTTAGAGATTTCAGGCTTCTTGTGATATCTTCTTACCTATACTTCTTGGCTAATAAGTTATGGGTAACCAATGTCCCCTTAAGTTCATTTTAAAACTCCCATTGGTACATAAATTCCAGGTGGCAGATGCTGTCAGTCTCATCATTGATGACCTTAGTGTGTGTAGTCCTTACACCTCCTACTAGATGAGCCAATTTTAACCTTCTACAATGGGTGCCTCCATTGCTTCATAATCTTCACGAGATTTCATGCTTTTGCAGCTTCTACAGTTTATTTTCATTTTTAATGTAGCAATAAAATTGGAATGTGAAGTACAAAAAAATAAAAATCAAACAAATAAACAAACAACAACAACAACAACAAACCCCAAACTACCAGGGCATAAAATTAGAACAATCTCACTTTCAACTGGTTAGAAAGTGAGACTACTTAATAACAGAAGATGTACTCTTCATGTCTATCCTACCTAGTAGTAAGATTGGCTTTAGAAAAAAAAAAAAAAACAGCAGAAAAGAAAGCCTATTAATAGTGGTTAAGTAGCTCCAAATAAATGAGGGTAGAGTTAGGTCTGCAGTTTGAATTAGGGAAAGTCCACATTCCATACTCACTGTGTACTCATAATCTTTATGCTACTTGTTACGATGAATCAGAAGCAACCATAAGTACTAATGTGCTTCTAATGCTCAGTGACCTTGAACAAAACTCACTGCCCTGATTCATACTATCAGTGTGGTTTTGAGAAAATTATTTGAACTTTAAGATTTAGTTTCCTCATTTGGAAGTCAGAAATAATAATTTTAACTGCTTCACTAGGCAGTTGTGAAGATTAAAAATCCAGCACACTATCCCTTGGGGTAGTGGCTATAACAGATATGCTTTGAATAAATGTTAGTTATCATTACATTTTATATAACAAAACTAGTTTATGGCTTTGTATATGAAACAGGTTGCCTATTGTATATGTTGAATAATTTTAAGGTGAACATATAATTATGCTTGAACTTTTCCTGTGAAAATTGAAGACTAGTAGAGTTGTAACAAGCTTGAACAAACTACAGAAATGGAAAGCACAGATTTCAGAGACTCCCTGAAAACAGAGAGGCCAGAAGTCCCTGGAGTTTTTTTCAGGGAAAACAAAAAAAATATGAGAATACCCTGGAGAATCGAAATCTGTCTAACTTGTGTGAGTTTCTATGTGGGGATATTTGTGTGTATGAATCTGAATTCAGATGAAGGGCAATTGGAAGCATCTGTCAAAGGATGTATTAGAGAAAATTTCTGACTTTTCCTACCCACATCATTATGTTAGGACAATCATTGCTAATTCTTCACTACAGAATTCAGCCACAGCAGCCTAGGTTAACAGTGTCAGCAGAATAATGCTAACTCAGCTCAGAAGCACTGCTGGGGGAGGAATTGATAAAAACATACATATACTGGCTGGATTCTTTTGGGAATTCATTCTTTGAATTCTTCCACCCCTGGAGATGATGCATTACAACCTAGGAAGCTTCCTTTTAATAGGGATACTCTACCCTGAATGTGTAGAGGGAACCTTCTGCTTTTTAGTTGCCTTAAATAGCACAAGAAAGAATCCCACAGTCTTAATAAGCCATGAGTCCAGTTTGGAGAATTGTCTGGAATTCACGTGGCTGCATTACTCCAGAGTAGAAACACATGTTATGTACTTCCACCCTCCCCCAAGACTCAAGCTGCTACATCACAGATCATCTTGAAATCTGAGCCTGTGCTGTAGTGTGTCCTTCTCTGGTTGCATAGCCACTGTGTTTCTGTACAAGCTGGTTCCAGAGTTTGATGAACCCACCTGCAGTAAACATGCACCACCACTGACAAAACCTCCTGCATCTTAGGTTAATGAGGCACTTGCAGACATTGCCAATATGGATTATAGACAATAAAATTGTGTGAAGACTATATTACTGTGTTAACCCCAAACTAAAATCAATACACCTTAATCAGTCAGTACCTAGGTTCCCTTCCAAAGCTACTCTGGAAAATTGGAGATGTGCACGACTATTCCATCAGATTCACAGATATCAATGTAGGAACACAACAGATATGAAAGAGCAAGGAAATATGACACATGTAAAGGAAAACAATTCTTTAATAACCAACCCCAAAGGAAATTTAGGAAATGCAAGAAAAAAAATTCAAAATAATGATCTTGCCTTTCTCTCTTGTATCTCATTGAATTCAATGAGAAATATTCAAATAAATTTATATAT